CATGAACCTCAGCATTAAAAAAATCATTTGAAATGTTAGAAGGTCGGGGGGGGAGAGAATAGAGTGAACCACGATCACCATCACTGCTGTCCTTGTTGTCACCATCACCGTCGTCATTGTCATCGCTGTCGGTGTCATCATTGTCATCATCACCGTTCTCATCGTCGTCGTCGTCGTCATCATCATCATCGTCATCGTCCTAATCATCGTCCCCATCATCATTATCGTCTTCGTCGGTGTCGTCATCATCATCATTACTGTCACCATCATTGTCATCGTCATCATCGTAACCATCATCATTGTCATCATCATCATCATCATCGTCGGCGGCAGCGTGCGTATTGCAGCAGACAGGATGAGACAGCAGCAGACAGGGTGAGACAGCAGCAGACAGGATGAGACAGCAGCAGACAGGGTGAGACAGCAGTAGACAGGAGTAACTCACCTGTCCCGCAGGATGGTCCACAGCTCGCCACCGAGACACACCTCCAGCATCATGTACACGTACTTCCTGTCCTTAAACGTCTTGTACATCCTGAAACATCGTCATCGTCAACGCCAGCGTTCAAAAGCGAGAAAGTTACCGCGGCGGACGTCGCCACGACACTAAGTCACCGTGGAAACCGTCGCCACGACATCGCGTTGCGTGAGAACTACTATGGTGACTGTCGCCACGACATTGCGTTGCCGTGGCGAAGGTCAGGACGGAATCAGAGTTGCTGTGAGGCGTTGCCATGGCGACGACAATGCGTTGCCATGACGACGACACTAACCTGCAGATGTAGGGGCACCTGGCCTCCATCATGATCTTCTTTTCGGAGTAGATGTGATCTTGTTGACGTGTATCGACAATATGCTTCTTCTTCAGGCACTTAAGCGCAAACGTGCGCGTTTTATCAGCCGACAGCGCCACCTGGGGACAGATATCGTCGTCAGTGAGCATTCGGGCGACGACGGCGACAGTTGCGTGGTTAAAGTCTTCCATCGACCGCTGTTCACTTGTTATTTATCATCAGCTGCTGCTCACTTGTTATCTATCATCAGCTGCTGCTCACTTGTTATCTATCATCAGCTGCTGCTCACTTGTCACGTGACCACGCTAATTCCATCCATTTACATAGCGAATGACTGACGGACGCTCGCTTTTTAGCGGACGCTCGCTTGTTAGTGGATGCTCTCTTGTTTCGACTCACCAGCTCGACGCGTCCGAACCCGCCCATGCCAAGCGTCGCCACGACCTCCAAATCCTCGAGTCTCAAGGTCACGAACTCCGGATCGACGCAACTCGGTAGCGGCGTCAGCGACCGTTCATCCGTGCCAGAACTGTTGCTCCCCCTGTTGGCAGACAGCCGGCGGCCATGATGAAACAACGGAACATCCGGAGGTGGGCGGGGGAGGGAGAGAAGCGCGCCAGCGGCTGAATCGCGTTTTACTCGAAAAAGTTTCGAAAAAACTTTATTCTTATTCTTATTATTATTATGATCTCGCGATAGCAGATGCTTGGTAACCGCACGGCTGTTTAGCAACGTGAGATGCGACGTGATTTGAGTCTCTAGCGGCTCGCTAATTCGCCGTCGTCGTCGCAGCGTCGATAAGTGTTCGTTTGCTGTCATTGTCGTCACGTGACAACGGCAGAGGACAGGGATGCATCGTCTTTCAGAGCGGTGTCGAGAGAGAGAGAGAGGAGAGAGGAGAGCGGAGAGAGAAGAAGAGAGAAAGAAGCGAGAGAGAAGAGAGGAAAGAAAGGAGAGAGGTGAGAGGGGAGAGAGAAGAGAGAGAGAGGCAGCGAAGAGGGAGAGAGAGAGAGAGAGAGAGGGATGAGAGAGAGAGAGAAGAGAGAGAAGAGAGAGAGAGAGAAAAGAGATAAGAAAGAGGACGAGAAGAGACAAAGATGAGAGAGGGATGAGAGAGAGAGAGAGACGAGAGAGAGACGAGAGAGAAGAGAGAGAGAGAACGAGAGAGAGAGAGAGGGAGAGAGAGATAAGAAAAGACGAGGACAGAGAGAGAAAGAGAAGTAGGAGCGGACGAGAGAGAAGAGAGACGCAGAGAGAGCGAGAGAGAGAGAGAAAGAAGAGAAAGAGAGAGAAAGAGAGAAAAGCGAGAGAGAGAGCGAGAGTAAAGAATTAGAGACAGAGAGAGAGAACATGCAAGTCGTTGCTCGGCTCGAGGCAGGAAAAAAGTGGCCGGTATGCATTGTTTAGCGAAGAACATGGTGATCAGTGGCCATATATCATCAGCGAACGAGTAGTAGTGAGATGGAGGGCAATGGAGATCACATCCTCAGCGAGCGACGAGAGTGCAGTGGAGGAACAGGGATTCACTCTCAGCGAGCGAGAGAGGAGAGGAGGGCAGGAATCACATCTCAGAATGCAAGCGATATTTGCGACGCGCGAAACCCTAGAGGTAGTCAACAGCGCAATAGAACACGCACACAACGACTACTGTATTGTAATATAATCAGTATATACAATATTATATATATATTACTATATATACCGC